CGCGATAGTATAGAGGCTATCGTGATATGATAGTAGTATTGAAGCTATCGTGATAGTAAACCATGTGTTGACATATAGGCATGCTCAGTACTACAACCACATGTTGTAGCAGGATAGCAGCTGATATCTAGACATGGCATCTGAAGGGACAGACCTTCTTCCTATAGAAGGAAGCAAAAGCGATATTTGGAAGCATTTTGGCTTTCCAGCAAGAGATGAGAAGTTCCTACAGCCTGTATATACATGTACTACTTCCTTTTGACTTTCGTTATTAATAGTTATAACTATTTGTTAACAAGAAAGCTATAATATCGTGATAGTTTCACTATCGGGATAGTACATGTAGTAGTAACAACTATCGTGATAGTGATTTGACTACTATCGCCCAGCTCTATTTAAAATATAAGTTTCACTTTTAATGTATTTTGTTTTGTTCTTTACTTTGCTATAGAGGCTTCAAGTTCTGCCATTATTTTTGTTATTTCTTCTCCTTTTTGACGAGTGTCCTCAGCTTTGGTTTCCAAATCTTTCAATTCTTTACGTAGCAGATCAACTCTCTTCAACATATCAGCATAACTCAACTATAGGAGAGAGAGAAGAGGATACAATATTATCAATACAATAAGGTACACAATTATTAATTTAGCACTTCAGAAGCATTTGGGAGTTTGGCTATATTTAAAAATTTTACACAGCAAGCAATTCATGAACTGGCTTTAGAGCAATTAAAAAATTGATAAAAAATCAAATCTTGATCGGAATCAGCTCAGGGTTTATACACAACATAAGTTCATGTATGTGTATTGGAAAATGTTATAAAAATTGAGAATTTTCTACTTGACATTTTTGGTGAAATTTGGCCAACACTCCTGATAGTACAGGGACTTTGACCCAATTTTTGAGCAACTTCAAAAATTCATAAAAAATCTAAAATTACATGTCATGTCATTAGTACCTTGTTTCAGTCCAGGGTCTTGTAATGGTATTCACTCAAACTAGGTATGTATAAGCAGTCTTGCTTTAGCTACGTAGGTCTGACAGAATGGTTGCTCTCTGGTGTCCACTCTCATGGTGTGTTCTAGTTCCTTCACCAGCTCATTCAAGTACAGTATATATCATCACTGGGTCTGTTCTTCACTCCAGCCTGATTACTAGGAGAGAACTCAACTGCTGTAGCTAGGATTATCAACACTTCTGTGTACCAGTACATATGTCATTATCATTTATTAATTCATTCTCACTTTCATGTAGTACAGGCATAGTCTTGGCTCTGGACAGCAGGTGGAAGTACAGTTTACTAGTCTGTATCAATATATTAGTGCTACCATACTTTACTGATTTATACCACCAACTACCCTGAGGGGCGGGGCATAACCGTAACCATGACAACACTAATGATAACTTACGACAATGATAAGGAGTCCGATAATTAAATACCAACACATACGCACCTAGAACCTATTAATAACTATTAATAACTAGTAATAACTATTAATAATTAGTAATAACTATTAATAACTAGTAATTAAAGTGACCACACCTACCATAACGAGTTATTCTTGTCAACAATCCAAGAGAGCAGTGCTATACCAAATGAAGCAGCTCTAGGTCCATCAGGGTTACAATACTTCTCCCAGTTCTCCCTAGTCTCCTCTTGAGTCAAACTACATCAAACAAGACAGACCCAATCATTTCTTTATACACGTACAAGTGACAATGTGTGCATCCCACTCTCTTTATGGAGGGACTTACGCTTCATAAGCTTTAGCTATTTTAGTGAATACCTCAGGGTCCCCTCCTTTATCAGGATGATGGATCATACTTAATAGCCTGTACTGCTTCTTGATCTGAGACACAGTAGCTCCCTAAAGAACTGATCCATTAAAGACAGCTGCATATTATGATACTGTCTACCCTGTCAATTCCTAGTATTTTAAATGGATCCCATTCCTCAGATTCACCAACTGGCTCTTGTGTCACTGCCCAATAAATCAACCAAAATAAGAACAACCAGCACACCA